GTAATAAACACATAATTTTTATATATTATACATTTAACAGTGAAATATAATTGAATTATCCAAACTAATCAGTATTTAAGGTTATTTAAAAGATCAATATTGAACTATATTAAAAATGTTAAATAAGTTATCAAGATCATATTAGACATATGATTATATAATCTATGGTAACGTTTCTTCTTTGTTATCAACACAATAAAAAAAACATGTTGGATAATGTTTGGGTTGGATTTCGAATCATCCTACGAAATTGTAGATGTCTTGCATAAAAATTTGGAGTATCACATGTGAATAATCGTAGAGCTCTAGATAAAAACTTTTTCTTCTTGGGGGATATCTGCCTAAATTACCGTTTTAGTGAGATATCCACGATGATCTTTTGGATATGCGTAGCACCCATGCATAGGTAAGATTTTTTGGCAGGATGATAAGGGCTTTTTCTCTTGAAAACTCTCTGACGCCTAAGCAAGGGCGGAGGTAGTGAGGATTTGGGTGGGGCACTTGCCCACCATGAAGTTTTCAAAATTAGTATAATTTTTTAAAGATGATGCCCCTCTTGATATATAATTTTATGGTGTGTTGTTTAATAGTTTTTCAGCCTTGCACCCGATGAAAATAATTTTTAGATCCGCCACTACGCCTAAGTTAGGAGTAAGATCATGATCTCTCTGAAATATCNAGATGGGATNAGAAAANTGAAGAGGTAGAGTTCCTAGGGATAGTGGAGTCATAACTCCCTTCCTAAGTATTGTTTTGCGTGAAGATACTTCTTAGGGAACATCACATTGTTATCTTCTTCTATTATGTTTAATAGTCTTATAATGAAAAAAAAACAAATCAAACTTATAAAAGCTTCGACATTTCCCTCTCAACAACCTTTTGTTGTGTTAGTCTCCTCTTTCTTCGTCCTTATATCCCCCCTTAATCAGACGACCACCATAACCTCTTGTATTTCTCAAGAATCTTGAGAGTTCCAAACCATATTCTTGCATATCTTTTGGATTATGTATGATAGATAAAAAATAATTACGCTCTTGTTTACATATTGCTCCTCCTCGAGAGTATGAATAAGAATAAGAATGCATGACGGATACGAACAAAANACATATGTGATATGTGATCGAAGAACAATAATGCACAAATGATACAATTGATTAATAACTAAAGAGAAAGCTTACCATATCTTATGAGTANATAGATAGAATTATCTCATACAAAATCAATTGTACTAAAAAAAATGGCCAGTTTAG